TCTCTCTCTCTCTCTCTCCCCTATAATTTCAGAAAGAAAAAAACAAGAACAATTTTTCGGGATAGATAGAGAGGAGGAGAGAGGGAAAGGCATAAAAAATTGGACTAAAATGAAGGTAATCACAAGGAAGACGTGAATAAAAAAAAAAGAAAAAAAAAAGAAGCTTTCCTGCCCCGAAAGATTCCCACCAATTCAAAGAGACAGACATCAAGAAGATTGAAAGGAGAATTTTTAATCGACACAATTAATTTTATTCTTCTTTTATTTTTTTGGTTGTCCTTTTCTGTCATTTATTTTGTATTCGTCTTGGGTTTTAAATATATTTCATTTCATCTATAACTGAAATTTTATAATCATACCAACTTTCCCATCAACTCCTTTTACTACGATCTTGTCACACTCATTAAGTATTTTCTTAGACCATCATTATCATCATCACTACCACTATCATCATCATCGCCGCCATCATCATCATCATCATCATCATCATCATCATCATCATCCAGTACAGATGTAAGAAAAAAGGTGTAAGTTGTGCGAACATTTCTTGACCTTATTTAACACCAATTCCAGTAAGATCACCGAAGTATAAGCAACGTCGATCCTGGTCAGTACCTAGATGAGTGACCGCGTGAGACTACCAGGGTCTTTAAGCTTGGAGGTGCAGGCTAATGAATAATGTCCATATATATATATATATATATATATATAAAATATAGTTTTAATGTATGCTATATTTATGGATTAAACTGCTCAATATCAGGGACAGAGCGTATGTAAATATAAAAGTAGCCATTGAAGCCAACGCCCAAAGGCGACATTCTGTTTCATGTTAAATTTAATCGCATAACGCATGACTGTCTCATATATATATATATATATATATATATATATATATATATATATATATATATATATATATATATATATATATATATATTCTTGGATGCATAGGCCGATAGACACTAGGTTTAATAAATAAAAATAATATATGTACAAGGTGAATGAAAAGTAACTCTGCATTTTAAAATACTTATAATTTTTTTATTAAGAATAATTTTTATAAGAAATGGATATGAGAGGAAAGCCTGAGGTTTTATTTCAAATTCAATATGGGCACCAGATTTTGCTACCAGCTTCTCGAGCAGACCAGGAACTCTTATTGTATGGAAGACCATAACTCCTTGTATTTGCCCTTCAAGTTCTTCCAAAGTCTTGGTTTGGTATAGTAGAATTGTTCCTTTAACTAACCCCAAAGAAAAAAAGTCACAGATGTTAATATTAAGTCAAGACTATTGGCTAGCTATTCATACATAAAATAGAGAGTCACTTTTCAATCAATATATATATATATATATATATATATATATATATATAATGAAAAGTTTGGTAATCCTTATGGATAATCCCAAGGAGGATGTAATTCAGAGAGCTCAATGTCAAATCAGAGCAATTATTAATTCGATTTAAATAGAAAACAGACAACCTTAAGGTTATCTGTTTTCTATTTAAATTGAATTAATATATATATGGATGGAGCGGCTTGGGGATAGTAATCGTGGCTCGTGGTAGCACAGTGGGGGCACTATATCGAGTCTAATTCGCTACCTCTTCGTCACCGAGGACCGTTGGTACAGTTGGTATGACGTTTGCCTGATAACGTAACTGTCCGGGTTTCAATTCACTGCTGATGAATTCCAAATATAGGACGAAACGGCTGTCCAGTGCTTTCTGCATTCTACAATCATTATTATGATTATCTCAAATCATCCTAATAATTTCTATCATATATAAATATGTGTTTGTCACCCGATATATGTACACACACGCGTGTGTGTGTGTGTGTGTGTGCGCGCGCGCGTGTGTCTGGTTAGAACGTTTTCATTCTGACCATGAGATTTGTCAGGAAGGAGACTTCCTGATGTCGGACTTGAGCATGCGGCACCTTTGGAAAGGGTTGACCCAAGCCTTGTGAGTGAAATTAAGTAGACGGAACCCCTGGGTGCCGTCGATAGCTGTGCTAGCACGAAGTCACAAGTCATCGTGACCGAGGGATTGAGCATGCAGGCCTTGTTCAAATTGTTGATCACGCTAAATAACACGCTCGTTCCCAGAAATTGTAACTAAGGTCTGCAGTATAAGCTATTGATGGGCTCTTGACAGTATATATATATATATATATATATATATATAGAGAGAGAGAGAGAGAGAGAGAAAAGAGAGAGAGATGGGCTCTTGATTGTATATATATATATTGTGGCTAGAACGTTCTTTCTTCGACAATGAGGCTCGACTTCGATTCTCAGCATGGTCGGTCGATTTGTCGGGAAAGTGATTCCTTTGATGCTATCGGAATTCCTGAAGCGCCATACTCCACGGTCGGCACAAGCCTTGTGACGGTAACTAAGTAGGCAGAAACGTTCGAAGACCTCTGATGATTCTGCTAGCCCAAAGTCTGTAGTCTTCGTGGCCGAGGATTTGAACTAGGATTGCTCAACATAGTTGCAATATAAACCAAAGGTTCCTGAACTGGCGTTTCCACAGATAATTCAGATATATTTTATACATTTTATTCCCAGAAAAGAAATCACTTTTACGTATGCAAGATAAATTTAATAAAAATTTAAACGTAATGCCTTGTTAGTCGTCTTCAATGAAACCTGTATAAAAGCAAGATTTTTTCGTATATATATATATATATATATATATATATATATATATATATATATCCTTGCATATTCTCATATATGAATATTACCGGACTTATTCAACCTATACAACGAGGGCGATTCGAGAGAAGTCCTACCAGGATTCATTATAGGTGGCCACAATTATGACAGCGAGTGTTGGACGATCTCCTCAAAGATGAAGAAGAGACTTGAAGCAACAGAAATGTAGTTCTACAAAAGGATGCTGAGGATACCATGGACAGAACATGTGAGTAACAACGAAGTTTTGGAAAAAATGGAAACAAAAAAACAGTACTAGTTAATATCAGGGAGAGTTTGTTAAGGTTTCTAGTGCGTACAATGCGTAAAAGGGGTTTGGAAGATGTGATACTCACGGAACAGATAGCGAACAAGAGACAGAGGAACAAACAATGCATAACATAATGTGCTTGACAGTATGCTTGGCGGAACCGGGCTTAGGGGAAATAACAGAAAGACTAAGTTTATTAAGAGCTACAAGGGACAGGAGATTGTGGAGAGCCATCATCGCCTACGTCCTGAGGGACACGGCACATAAAAATGAAGAATACATTTAATATGACAAAGTGGAAAAGACTTTTCAGGCACGCAGATCATATTTTATAGTTGAGCAGAGAGAAAGTTAGACCCATGTCAGGAAGAAAATGATGACACAAGGCAATAAAAACTTTTATCATTTTCCATGACGAATGGATTGGAGATTCAAAAAGAAATTTTAGGAAATCCTAAAATTGTCGTCTGCTCCTATAGCCTTAATATTGAATTGTATTTTTTTAATTGGGCTAAATTTCAACCCAATAAATCGTCTGCTGGATTTGAAATTTAGCCCAATAGGGAAAACCGATAAGTTTAGGATTTCCTAAAATTTTATTATTTCCAAAAAGCTTTCTTGTGCTCCCACCTAGCAACCACATCAACTAATATATATATATATATATATATATATATATATATATATATATATATATATATATATATATATATATAAGCTAATAAATATATATATATATATATATATATATGGGTTCAGTCAGTGGAAAAAGGGTCTGAATCTGATGAAATGCCAGGTCAGGACTAATAACATTGCAGGTTCATTTTGGGATTTTATTAAGAATCTCTAAATATATAGCGGCTGCACCGAACTAGATGTGGCAGCAATATTGGCACCAAGGACAAATGGTAGACTTATAAATATGTAAGATAGATTCTGAACCAACATTCCTAGCTGCAGACTTAGATATTGATTCAATATACTCTTTCCATTTCAGTTTTGGAGACGTTAAAATGAATAATTCACTCCCTGCCCCATTTAACAACAGGTCATTTTCTTAGATCGCCTGGCAATTTGTCCTTATTGAAGCGATCAGGCTAACTAAAATCTTAAGAAATGAGTAACTAGTTGTGTCATCGGCATAGATACCAAGCTGAGAATTGATGCCATCCAGAAGGCCCCTTATGACAATTAGGAGAAATATAAATCCAAGGATAGAACCCTGAAGAACACCTGCATTAACACTCAGGGATCTAGGAGAGTGGCCATTCAAGACAACTTTCATTTCATGATTTGATAAGAAAAACTGAATCAGTTCAACAATTTATCCAAAATGAAAGAAGAGAGCATAAAAAAGACTTTATCACTTTGGTCAGGTTTACTATTTAGACAGCAGCAACTAGTTATCTTATTAGCATAGATACCAAGTTGAGAATTGATGCCATCCAGAAGGTCATTTATGAAAATTAGGGAAAAGGTAGGTCCAAGGATAGAGCCCTGAGGGACACCTGCATTAATGCTCAAGGATCTAGAAGAGTGGCCATTCAAGATTACATTCATTTCACGATTTGATAAGAAAAACTGAATCAGTTCAATAAATTATCCAAAATAAAATAAAATAAAATAAAAAGACTTTATCACCCTGGTCAGGTTTACTATTAAGATAGGAGCAAATAGTTGTCTCATCAGCATAGATACAGAGTTGAGAATCGATGCCACCCAGATGGTCATTTATGAAAATTAGGGACAAGGTAGGTCCAAGGATAGAGCTCTGAGGAACATTATTGCATTAATGCCTAAGGATCTAGAAGAGTGGCCATTCAAGAAAACTTTCATTTCATGATTTGATAAGAAAAACCCAATCAGTTCAAAAATTTCTCTAGTATTTCAAAATATCATTTCTTAAACTTTATAAATGATAACGAGAAAAGAGAGATTGTCCCTAAAGAGTAAGTATGTGATTGATTGTAAAAAAAATGTTTTCACTTTAAAGAGTCATGTGAAGATCATTGAACTGTAAA